GGGCGAGGCCATGCTGCGCTGCTTTAGAGAAGAGGAAGAGAAAACTAGAGGTGCAGGTAAAAATCTATTCATATATGAATTGCGATTCTGTCTTCTAACGATTCTAATGGATTCACAACTTTCAAAATCAATGTTCTAAAGCAACGGTTCTCAATACTGTTCCTCGCGTTCCCCTGCCCTGCATCTCTCTCTCATTCAGCTCAGCTCCAACAATGAACTGTTTCAATTATACACTTATTTTCACATAGCTATGAGAAGCGTTAAACATTGCCGTACTGTATTAAAGTTTTAATCAGGATAAAACCGTATATTAAAAGCTAACAGAAGCAGTAGCATTTACAAATAACAGCATATCTAAAAGTATGAGACAACAACAAACAAAAAACATAGGCCTGCCATTAAAAGCCGTGCTTGCACAGGTTCTGCACGATCCTCTTCAATAATATCCTCTGCTTCTCAATCGGGCTCAAACTGATAAGCGATATTAACAATGCAGTTTTTTACAATAACAACCGAAGCACATGCCGCTGAGGTGAGGGGCGGGACGATTAGACGCGCACTAGAGACAGTTGAGCCAATCACAACACACTGGGCTAGCTAACCAATCAGAGCCCATCGCCTATTTCTGAGGGAGGGGCTTCATAAAAGAAGGAAATGATCAGCCCGTTTCTCAGAGAAGGGACAGAGCTTTGTGGAATAAAGGTAAATTATGTGAAAAATAATGCGTTTTTAAAAAAAACAAAGCATTAACACGTTAGACTGCACCCTATAAACACAATCAATCCTAGAAAAAAAAAAACGAGAACCACCCCTTTAAAGAAAACAATCATCTCAGACCAACCTGTTTCTCAACCTCTTTATGTACAATTCAGTATCATGTTACACTCAGCACACACACAAATGGTTATTTGCCTTCAGGACACAGAACATGTTCTCTGTCAGAGACATTTACAGTATCTCGTAAAAGAAAGGCTGCGGATTTTATATGTGGTTTTATGTGGAGTTCATTGTGTGAAGCATTACAGGGGTTTACAGTAAACCACACACACCCTGATTAGAGATCACACACACATGCTTACGAGTGTGTCCAGAACAGACAGCAATGAACACAATATTGCAATAATACTGTAGAATTCAATAGTAAACAACAAAAAATCTGAGCTAATTTGCAAAAAACTGAAAGTTATGTCGCTGAAAGCTGAACCTCATAATTTTTTAGCTATAGTTTGATGATGAAAGTGCCTCGAGATGTGAGCGAAACCTGACAACCCCCCCCTTTGGAGGTGTTATCAATGTCAAAATGATTCATAAATGAAGTAATGCTCTGTTCAGTTTTCTTTTAGGGTGTGAGCTATTCTGTCATTATTCGAATGAACTTAAAGTTGCGATGAAAGTAGCACTAGACCTTTTTTTCCACATCCGTTTCAAACGGATTAAGAAAAAATGCAGGGCGGAGACTTGCTTCTATCTGTCGGTTGTTAATTGGATATTGAGTTGTGGGCGTGGCACTCCAAAACTGTATGCAACCTTGCAGTTGATTGTAAGAAAGGGGCGGGGTTTAAGTGAACAAAATGATTGGAGGAATCCTGCATATGTCATCAGAGAGAGGTCTGCAAAAGATTTAGTTAAGGAATTCATTTTGAAAAAATACGAGGATAAAAAAATTAATGCATTTAAAAAATGGAACCTATTCATAGAATAAGATCAATAACATGCATTTAGATAACTGTGTGAATTTTTATTTTTACGCCAACTTTAATATAAAACAACAGAAGCCTAGAAGTACAATTTGGGGGAAACCTGACAAATCCTCCCTTTGTGGACTTTTGGGGTGTAATTTTAAAATTGTTTAATAAATGTAAAAAAAAATTTCATGCACTGTTAATTTTGAGATTTTGGTCTATGTTACTTTTTGTAATGTCTTGTTTCAGACTAGTGGAAAGAAAACATGCACTAAACACTTTAAAGTGTTTATTTTATTGCACTTTATATATTTGCATCATTCAGATTAAATACATGTTTTTAAAGGCCGCGAGTTTTTTCTCCTCCACTTTTCTCCTCACTTTCTTTTTTTTTTTTTGCTTGTTGACTTGTTGTATTTACTGATTTATGTATTGATAAAAGAAGAAATAAACCAAAATAAACATAAAAAAAAACATTTTGAAAGACTGGTTTTATTGTTTTGATCCAGTATTCACATTTCTGTTCTGGAATTGTATGCAAATATGTGCACATTTAATTAGATATTACATTATTTTCATATTTAAACACATTTTTACATGCATAAACATGCAAACATGCATATTTAAAACTTGTTATACAAACAATGTCTGCCATTCTTAATGTGATCAATTAACTTTGGAAGTATGGTGAAAACTTCTGGATATTATGATTTTTTTGGTTAGTTATTTATATATTTATTTAGTCTATCCGCCTGGGTGCCTTGCCTTATTGTGAAAATGTTTCCTCAATGTAAAGGTTAATGAGTGGGTGAGTAATTAAAACTAGCTTCATATACAGTATAAACAATAAAAGTGTTGTGATGTCCTCATTTACAGTAGCTAGGTGTATGTAAAACTGAGTCACATATCTTTCAGGAAACTATTTCAAAACGACTATTACATGCTAAAATGACATCAGCTATTCTAAAACAGGGAGAACATGCATGTGTTTATGAATATTGGATTCTTCCTAGTTTAAATGTTGACCAACAGGCTTGTTACCCAGTAACTCAACCTCCAGAGAAATGTCTTATCTCCAGCATTCTCCTACTGACGTGTGCTGGGTGAGCAGGAAGAAAAAATACCCATGATACAAACACCACAGATCTTGAGAGACTACAGAAGAAACTAAAAGAAGAAACTAGATCTTAAAGACACGTCTCTTTCCTGTTGATTAAAGGTACACAGGAAGAAGAGCATTGAGACATCTGAATGTTGAAACAATGCTGAGAAGTCACGCTCTAACGGTCAAGAATGAATTCTGCTTTATCCATTCTGGCATTGTAAAGCTTGTATATGGCCTCTTTAACTATCACGGCATCATAAAGATTGACGCTTGAGCTCAGGATGAGCTGTGACTTCACAACAGCATCTCAGACAGTGACTTCTCGGACTGAAGGCCACTGAATGATCAGTTTTGGCAGGTTTGGAGCGCTCAGGTCTGTTTAATATAAGGGCTGGATCAGGTTCACAAGCTCAACCTTTACAAAACAAGCTATTGTTTGCAAGAGTCACTGTGAATACACACATGTGTTTACTTAACTAAAAGATATAGCATTAAAATGATTTTTGTTGTTCTTGTTTTTTTTATTATAACAGACTACCAAACAAGATTCATGATTACTGGATAAAAGCTAATAAATATTAAAATGATTTATTAAAATCTTATGTTTTATAAATTATGTTTTATATATACACACAATTTATAAAATATAATACATTTATAAAATACTTTAATATGTAGGCTACAATATTTTATAAAAGATTCATATATGTAATATTTTGAATTTACACACACACACACACACACACACACACATACATATATATATATATATATATATATAAAAACATTTTAGAGCATAGCAGAACTCGGAAAAAATATAAAATACACAGAATATTCACTATGGAAATATTACCTTTCACGCTTTTTTTAAATTTCCAGGCATGTAATTCACAATTGTTCAATTTCCTGATATTGCATGATCTTGCTAACTTCTATCAACTCTCTATCATATTATATAGACGTTCATAGAGATTATATAGACGTTCTTCAGTGTTACAATATGTAATCAGTATATGATTCATCTATTGTAACACTGAAGAACCTGTTGCATTATAGCGGATCCTCCTGAGAAATGCTCTCACTGTACTCAGAAACAGTCTTACCATACTCGGGGTTGTTTTGCTCTTCCTCCTGCTTCTTACGGCCCATCTTTTCACTTCGCGATCAATAATAACCGCGTGAAATGATCTCGAGCTGTTTCACTGCTCTGCAGCGCTCATCTGAATCGATCAAGTCTGGTGTCAGCGCGCGCTGATCTTAGTTTAGTGCTGTTGTATTGTCTGTAAATCTTTGCTGGAGTAACTAAGCGCTGTGATGACGTCACGTGGCACCTGCCGCTGCGAGCTCACCTGACGCACGCTCACGCCCTCGCGCACAGACCCCCGCAAACACACACGCGTCCTTTTCCGGTGGAAGATTAGAACAGCCCGAGAAACTGCAAGTGTTTACATAGCTTTATTTTATTTAGATTTTTTTTGCATTTTGAAATCAACTTCTAAATGTCTGTTCAGTAGTCCCTATAACATGACACAATTTAATTTGTGGTGCTTCTAATTAAGTGGTGAAAAGCAGTTGCAACTGTTGTACAAAACAAATATCACCACTACTCATCTTTGCACCAATAAAACGTGCAAAACTTTGTTTTTCTACCAAATTATATGCAATATCTACCGGTAATTATTATATTAATATTTAGCTTACATTGGAAAGGTTTCCGTGACCCGAGACCTCTTTCCAGAACATAATGCATGATGGGATACACTAAGCCTCGAATAGCGCTCCTTGGTGGTAGTGTGGATTGGGCACTGCACCTTAGCGTTTTTAAAGGGGTCATATGATGCGATTTAAATTGTTCCTTTCTCTTTGGAGTGTTACAAGCTCTTGGTGCATAAAGAAGATCTGTAAAGTTGCAAAGACTAAAGTCTCAAATCCAAAGAGATATTCTTTATAAAAGTTAAGAGTCAGCCACACCTACCTAAAACGGCTCGTTCTAACACGCCCCCACATGTCTACATCACTATGTGGGAAGATTTGCATAACGCCGCCCAAATGTTCACGCAAAGAAAGAAGGCGTAACTTTTATTCTCGCTGTAGTATTGTTGCTGCCGCCGCCATGTCGTGAAGACGCTGTGTGTTTCGTTGTGAAAGCGAAACTACTTTGTTTGGTCTTCCAAAAGAGGACGATATCAGTTTCGTCGTGCCTGGAGCTGATCCGTGCTGGTCGCTGAGGAAATACTTCAACTTCGCTGTGGATCGCCGGATCGGCTTTCACCGTGGACGAAGCGGAGTCCAGCTCGGGGTCGTCACATGTGGTTGCCGCAGGCATCACAGTATGGTGAGGGGCGTAACATTTCCATCACACGCTTGAGGTATTCGGCCAATCACAACGCACTGGATAGCTGGCCAATCAGAGCACACCTTGCTTTTCAGAACGATGAGCTTTGTAAAAGTCGACGAGTTTCAGAAAGGCGGGGCATAGAGGAGAAACAATAATGTACAGTATGTGGAAAATAATGTGTTTTTTTAACCTTAAACCGCATAAACACATTTCATTACACCAAATACACCAAATAATGTTATTTTTAGCAGCATCATATGACCCCTTTAATTAAGTCCAACATCCCATCTACCATGACTCAGGGCCCAGGGGTTAATTACCCTTATTCCTAAGCCTTAAAAAAAATGGACTATTATTGATTATTTTTCGGCCAATTAGTCTTTTGAATAATGATTATAAATTAATTGCCTCTATTTGCTAAAAGAATTAAGAATGTATTAGAATATATTACAGATGAAACTCAATCAGGCTTTATGAAAAACAGGCACATTTCGAATAATATCAGGTTGGTTTTAGATATATTACATTATTATTTAATTGATGTAAATATTTTTATTTTATTCGTAGATTTTCGTAAAGCTTTTGACACTGCGGAACGTAATTTTTTACATTTTCTTCTTTAAAGGTTTTTGGGTTTGGTGAGTTCTTTTGTGCAGCAGTTCAAACCCTGGATAATAATGCAAATTGCTCAATCAAACTCAAACACGGAACTACCTTTAGATTTGATTTAAAAGGAGGTATTAGACAGGGTTGTCCTATCTCTCCGTATCTTCTCCTGCTTGCAACCCAATTATTATCTGTGCATGTTAACAAAAGTATTCTTAAGGGTGTCTCAATTGCAAGCAGAGAAATTATTATAAGTCAGTTAGCTGATGATACAACCCTTTTTTCTTTTTTAAATATAGTGGCCAAATTCCAATTACAGATAATTTTATTAATAAGTTTTCTAGTGCCTCTGGTCTCGATCTCAATATTAGTAAGTGTGAACTAATGGCTGTTAAAGACTGTGATTTAACATATATTTGTAACATTCCTGTAAAAGATAGTGTTACATATAGGAATCATTATTGTTAAAGACCAGCTGAAAAGATGTTCTCTCAATTTTAACCCCATAATTGATCAAACTAAAAGAAAATTCAACTTCTGGCTTCAAAGAGATCTCTCCCTAAAGGTATGGGGGGGGGACATTTGTTTTTCATTAAACTCCAAAAATAATAATAGAGCTATCCGTAGAGAATGAGAGAATAAGAGAAATTGTTACTGTACCTTATGTTTTGACTCATTGGGTCTCTTTATTGAATGGAAAATTGATTTGCTGGAGAAAAGTGTGGTTGTTACCACAGAAATATCATCTTAGAAATAAGATTAAAGAAGGTTCTTATAAGTTTATTCATATGTTTTATCTAGCAAACTTTTTTTTTAAAGGAATAAATGTGAATTGTATTTTTTGTAATGAATATGAGGAAACTGCCTTGCACTTATTTTGGCACTGTACATACTCAGTTACACTATGTTGTAAAGTCCAAAAATTTATTAGCGAAAATATTCAGAGTTTAAGACCTTCTTCACTCCTATGGGAAAATGTACTCTTTGGCTTTACTGACTATCCTGACCAAGGGGAACAGTACTTTTACTTAATTTACTTATTCTATTGACCAGATTTCACATTCATAAGTGTTAATTCACCAATAAAAAAAAACAATTTTATGGTTTTGTTGACTAAAATATGTATGTATATTGACAGTATCAGAGACTCTGTGAATAAAAAAGCTGTAAGAACTTTGAAAGTTTATGAACTTTACAATATATTTATTAGATTTTATATATACGTATGTGTATGTATGTATATCTTGTGTTTTTGTTTTGAGGTTTTATACTTTCCCTGGCAACTGTTTTGTTTGTTGTAATTCGTCCTATCTTTTTTGTTTTCTTATTTTAATGTTGTTTTCTTGATAACATATTGTATGTTATTGTCATAGACCGTATAAAAACAGGTTATTGTGCCTTGAATTAAAAAAAAAATGTTAGCGTTTTTAATACCTGGGACAGTCTTGCCACTCAAGTGGCTAAGATTGCAAGCGTGGGTATTTGGACAAAGGGTTTGTTTTACAGGATGGATTGTTTTTAGGTTTTCGTTTCGTGCAACTCAAACTGTATTTTGTCAAACTATTTCAACGACGTTTTAAATAAAACACTGATGTTTGTGATAGATTTTTAATAAAGTGATACATAAATAAAACAAATAAATAAAGTGACTTGGGTTGTGTTTTTTCGCTGTCCTGTATAAAGGCGCGGTGACATGTTGTTCGGTGAAATTTCGAGAAGGGTCTGGCTGCAGACTTGCACTTGCACTCTCAGACTTGCACTCTCAGACACTTGCACTTCCGCTAGTGACGTCACTTGCAGTCTTTTTTATTTTGTTCTATTTATTGATTACTTTTTGTTTGAATCTCTCAACTTTTTACAACAGTAGCCAGGTGGTGAAGACAAGAAAAAAGAAACTATTGTCACTTGCAATCTACACAAATGGTGCGTGTTGCCAATGGAGACAAGACGCTGTGGTGGTGATTAAACAATTAAAACTAATTTTATACTATTACGTACAGACCCGCAAATCCGTGGCTACAGAACAGCAGAATATGAACGCAATGCACAAAGTCTCTCGTTAGGCGTTTTCCTCGTGTACAAAAACATAAAGACTTAACATGGCTTAATGTATTAAGATACATTAAGTGCAATTAAAAGATCGATATATAGTTATTATTTAATGTACTACAAGGCAAGCAGATGGCCATGAACACAATGCGCAAACTTTCACTTGTCCTCCCATACAGCAAAACGCTTAATGTGGCATAATAACGGATGATAAAGACAATTCAGTAGCCTATATGTCTTGTTGTTGACTCGGAGTATATACAGAACAGCAAATATGAACGTGCATTATGAAATGCATTAAGTGATTTTAAAAGGATCAACTCCGTACAGGCAAGCGGACGAGCCCAGAACGCAATGCATTAAATTGCTCCCATAGAAAATCATTATAAAACACGTAATGTAGCTTAATGGACAAAGACAATGATATAAAAGAGCTGTAGACAGTTCATTCTATATGGAAAAATGCTTAATGCGAAACTTTGCGTGTTGCGTTTATTCTGGGCTCACCTGCTTGCCTGTATATTAGTTATGTAGGCTATATTTTAATAATGAAGAGCATTGAATTTGGTCTTTATCATCTTAGTCCATTATGCCACGTTCTGCGGTATGGGAGGAAAATACTATATACATATTCATTATATTAATAAACTGTATATTGAATTTGATATTTTAATAGCATCTTAATACATTAAGCCATGTTAAGTCTTTATGTTTTTCTACAGGAGGAAAACGCTTAACGAGAGACTTTGCGCATTGCGTTCATATTCTGCTGTTCTGCGGCCACGGATTTGCGGGTCTTGTCTTTTTCTCCTACAGATGGCTTGCAGGACCCTGTATGTTATAGTATAAAATGAGTTTTAATCGTTTAATCACCACCACAGCTTCTTGTCTCCATTGGCAACATGCACGATTTGTGTCGATTGCAAGTGACGTCGCAGGTATTGGAGAGTGCAAGTGGCGATTGCAAGTGACTTCGTAATTTAGTTTCTTTTTTCTTGTCTTCACCACCTGGCTACTGTTGTAAAATGTTGAGAGATTCAAACAAAAAGAATAAATAAATAGAACAAAATAAAAAATAAAGACTGCAAGCGATGTCGCTAGCGGAAGTGCAAGTGTCTGAGAGTGCAAGTCTGAGAGTGCAAGTGCAAGGCTGCAGCCAGACCCTTCTCGAAATTTCGCTGGGTGCAACTTGCTATGGTTACCTCATAGACATATACCAGGGGTAGTTCTAGGGCGAGTAGACATCCGGGGCTTACAGTATTTACTAGTTGCCATTTCAACACTATATATAGAGAAAAAAGTGCGCGAAAATTCAAAAATCTCTTAAAGATAATCGCTGAACATTTATTTTACCATAGCAAAAGTACATTTCTGGCTAAAGTGAATTTTTCATCTCCGTTTTTAGTATTCATTTAAAATGAGACAAATCTGCTATCATTTAAATCTCCAATCTGTTATTTATTAGATTAAACCTTTCATTGCTGTAACCCTTAAAAACCAGACGGTTTTCTTGATGCCACCGGAGTGGCGGCTGCACTGGTGGCTTGGGCCCGTCTTCACCACATGCAGCTTTATTTGTCCTTGAGCTGTCAAGCCACGGCAGTTAAGAGATTGCTCTATTTAGCAGCCCAATGCAACAAACACTTAAATACTTAAAAAAATTAACTATTTTTTAATAGTGTCACATAAAATACTTTAAATGAAGGTGTTACATATGCTATAAATGTCCAATTTGAAAGCGACATCAACATTAGCTTATATTGCTTAACTGTATACTTTTGAAAAGTCTTCAGGCTGATCAGGCAGTTCTTCCAGTAGTGCTGGATTTTTTCTGTAGATGTAAACATTCGCATATGCATCTTCCCTCTGCATCAGCACAGCCAACGAGGAGACGCAAGTATCGTGGTCATTCAGCATACCAGGCAGACAAGAGGACTTATGTTGGATTCGCATCGATCTTCGCACAGGTGTCAGAAACTTCAGGTCTTTGATGATGTTTCTATGTCGTGAGCCACTGCCTGGTGCTGTTTTGCATTCAATTATCTTTTTCACTCTAAATGACGAGAAAACCAAATGAATACTTGAACTTCTTACACATGTGTATGTGTCTTTGTACATACCGTTAAATTACCCTAAACTCACCTTTGCAAATACGGAGTTGTTTTCACATTGTATTTCACAATGGATGCCCCTGCCATCTCTGGAGTGGTGCTCTTCATCTTCTCATCACTGTCATGATAATCATCATCATTCTTTATGACAGCCTTCTTAGTGTCTTCTGTAATGTGGCTCTCCGAGTCTTCCTCATCTCCCAGTTCCTCCTCTTCCAGAATTTCAAACACTTTATCTGTTTCCTGCACTTCCACTCTTTTCTCTGCCACCACATCAGACTTGTCAACATTTACACCTGTCGAGGATGGCCAAAATCATATAAGCCATTTATAAAAATCACATCATGACTCGAAAAGAGAATAAGTTGGTTTATTCTGGTAATATTAGTATTAATTTGCAATTCCTGCATAAAGAACCAGGATGAGACTCACCATCTTCACATGATGAGGGCATCTCCATTGCCTCCAATTTATCACACAAGTTCAACACCTACAAGCAACACCACATATAAGGAAGGAAGAAATTACAATTTAAAAAAAATGTAAATATACACTACCATTCAAAAGATTTGTAATGTTTTTTAAAGAAGTCTCTTCTGCTCACCAAGCCTGCATTTATTTGATCAAAAGTACAGCAAAAACAGTAACATTTTGAAATATTTTTACTATTTAAAATAACTATTTTCTATTTTAATATATTTTTAAAATGTAATTTATTCCTGTGATTTTCAATGCTTTAGCATCATTACTCCAGTCACATGATCCTTGATATCATTCTGATATTCTGATTTGCAGCTCAAAAAAAATAAATAAATAAAATAAAATAATAATAATAACAAACAACAACAACAACATTATATTATTATTATTGTTGAAAACAGCCGAGTAGAATTTTTTCAGGTTTCTTTGATGACCAAAGTTCAGAAGAACAGCATTTATCTGAAATAGAAATCTTTTGTAACATTATGTCTTTATCACTTTTGATCAATTTAAAGCATCCTTGCTAAATAAAAGTATTCATTTCGAGAAGTTAAAAAATATATGTAATAATATTATACTGACTCCAAGCTTTTGAATGGTATAGTGTATAATGTTACAAAAGCTTTTTATTTCAGATAAATGCTGATCTTTGTATCTTTCTATTCAAAGAATCCAGAAAAAAATGTACTCAATTGTTTTAAATATTGATGATGATGATGATGATGATAATCATAAATGTTTCTTGAGCAGCAAATCAGCATATTAGAACGATTTCTGAAGGATCATGTGACACTGAAGACTGGAGTAATGATGCTGAAAATACAGCTTTGATCACAGAAATAAATTATATTTTAAACCATTCAAATAGAAAAGTTATTTTGAAATAGTACAAATATTTCAAAATTTTACTGTTTTTGCTGTACTTCGGATAAAATAAATGCAGGCTTGGTGAGCAGAAGAGACTTCTTTAAAAAAAACATTAAAAATCTTAGCGTTCAAAAACTTTTGACTGTTAGTGCACAACAGTGAATATCTGTCTGTCTGTCTATCGGTTTCACAAATAAGACTCTCTTTATGGTTCTTACCGACTCCATCCTTATCTCTGGGTCAACTGGCAAATCCATATCACTGGTGTCCAGCAAGTCTAGTGAGGTATTCATAATATAGCTTGATCTCCTAGAACACACTGTTTTATTGTCAGGGACTTCAATATCATTAGTTTGGTTGTCAGTCTTCAATGCAGCGGTTGGTTTTACAGCCTCAAACTGGACGACAGGCTCAGACTGGGCACCAATTGTTGCTTTGGGTCCAGTTTTAGGCCGAAGAACCGGTTTTGGATTTCTTGAAAAGGTTGCAGACTTTTCCAAGATTGGAGGCTTCTTCAGAGTCTTTCCCTTCCACTCTGCAAGCTTTGCTCTGAAAATAAAACATTGAGCAATCACATCAATATATCCTCTTCTATCAGCAGACTGTCACACTTGTCCAGTTAAAACTGGTCAAGTTATGTTCGGCTGAAGTTTATAAATTACACTATTGTTCAAAAGTTTGGTGTCTATAAGGTTTTTTTTAATGTTCTTGGGGAAAAAAAGAAAAAGAAAAAAAAGAGTCTCCTATGCTCAACAAGGCTGCATTTATTTGATCAAAAATACAGCAAACCAGTAATATTGTGAAATAATGTGACCCTGGAGCACAAAACCAGTCATAAGTCGCTGGGGTATATTTGTAGCAATAGCCAAAAATACATCTATGGGTCAAAATTATAGATTTTTCTTTTATGCCAAAAATCATTAGGATATTAAGTAAAGATCGTGTTCCATGAAGATATTTTGTAAATTTCCTACCACAAATATATCAAAACTTCATTTTTGATTAGTAATATGCTAATATTCTAAGAACTTCATTTGCACAACTTTAAAGGCGATTTTCTTAATATTTTATTTTTTTGCACCCTCAGATTCCAGATTTTCTAATAGTTGCATCTATGTCAAATATTGTCCGATCCTAACAAACCATACATCCATGGAAAGCTTATTTAGCTTTCAGATGATGTATAATATAGCAATAAGCCAAAAGAAGCCGTGGTTTACAGTGAATTTATAACAGAGCATAGGAGAGCCTACAACCCCTTTAGCTGTTATACATTCATTGTAAACCACGGCTTCAAGGGGCTTATTGCTTTTATAAAACGGTTATTCCATATATGTAGTAAGGTTTCACAAAATAAAACAGAGCAAGTAAAGTGCAATGATATTAATAAACAACGTAGTTCCTCAGAAACGGCTGTGGTTCCAACAAAGTGGTTACCGAGTAAAACAGAAATGTAAACAAAAGTGTATGTTTGTAGAGTAATTTACAACAGCTTCGAACTTGGCTCAACCAATCAGAATCAAGGACCGGAACTATCCGTTTAATAAATCTCAATTTCTGAAAATTGACACTTAAGACTGGCTTTGTGGTCCAGGGTCACATATAATAATTTAAAATAGCCTTTCTATTTTAAATGTAGTTTAAAATGTACTTTATTCTTGTGTTTGCAAAGCTGATTTTTCAGCAGCATTACTCCAGTCTTCAGTGTCACGCGATTTGACTTCAGAAATCATTCTAATATGCTGGATGGATGCTCAAGAAAATATTTCTTGGACACATTATTTATTATAATCACGGTTTAAAACAGTTGTGCAGAATAATATTTTTGTTGAAAGCATGATACATTTTTTTATCAGTATTCTTGTAACATAGTAAATGTATTTAATAAATGTTATAAATTGTATTAAATAAATAAAATATATAAATAATCTTACTGACTCCAAACTATTCAATGGTAATGTAAACAACTCGCCTTCTTTCCTCAGCCGTCTTTATTCGCACTTTGTACTGGCTGGCTGTACTTGTGACAGGCCTGCGGACTTTCTGTTTAGTGGTGGCTGTTTTGGGTTTCTCCACCTGCACCGTCTTCTCTTTCTTCTTCGAAGCGATGGGTTTGCTGATGGCCGAGTGCCTTGTAGCTAGAGGGGCTGACCTGGGAAGAGCACAAGCACCTGCTTGGGTGACGGTGCCTGGGACGTTCTGAGGTATACGTTTATGGGAAACGGACACCTGGACTGGTTTTTCATTGGCATTCAGCGGGATATCAGAGACAGATTTCGGTCTAGATGACACAGCAGAGTTTACTCTGGCTTTAGAGGACATTGGCAGGGAAGAAACAGACTTGGACCGAACTTTAGGCCATTCAGGTTTTGGTCTTGTCACATCCAGTTTTGAAATCACTTTCTTTTCTGTGGTCTTCACATCAGCAGCATTGGGTTTTCTGAAACAGTCGATTTTAGACTGTACTACACGACCCTTATACATACCAGGATTAGATTGCTGGATGGCAGAGACACTAGAGGGTGGTTTTTGAACTTCTTTCACAAGATTCCTGTGTCTTACAGTCTGCGGTGTACGGAAGGCCTGGCTTAACGTGTTACGCTTGGTAGGATCAGCATTAGTTTTGGTCTTCGGTCTAACATCCTTTTCCTTCTCTCCTGTTCCAGAGTTGTCCTCCGTAAGATCATTCTTCGACTGAAGGGGTGCAGATCTACATATTACTTTTTGTTTTGATATGCAACCACTGATGACTTGTTTTTTTGGGCCACCTACTGATTTACTGTTTCCCTTGTTGCTCTGAATAGAAAGAATAAAGAATCTGAATTATGCAAACCACATTTCAAGCACACAGACTAGGGATGCACGATATATCGGCCACCATATCGGTATCGGCCCATACAGGTAAAATTACACAATGCATAATTTTTGGGGACTTTTATTTTAAGCACATCAAATTGTGTTATAAAATAGAAACTGGGTATTAATACCTAAATACTACATACATAAATAACCTCATAACATGTCAAACAGATTAATTCCAAATATTTCCCACTTTTATATCAGTACTAAAAGAGATCCCATTGTACCAACACTTCAAAAAGACCCAAACCATGACAATACTGGCAAACTATTGATAACAGTTGCCAAAACAATCTACTTACGTTATCTACGGTTTCCTCAGTCGAGGAAAATGTGTTAACAGGAACAGGATGCAAATACAGCCATAAATTCCTTGGGATCGAGCCACGAGGTCGTGAGCAATAAATTCATAAAGCAATTAAGTACAGCTTTCGTCAGTGAGATAACAAACAAACACGGTCTCACCCGAGCTCCTGTCCGGTGAAAATGTCTCTGGAGCTGAAGAAGGCGATGCGAGGGAAGCGCAGGTCCTGGTGCAGCATGAACACACGTACGGGGATGATGTTGGGGTCACACAGATGGTTTATAAAGCGGCTGATGTTACCGTAGTAGCGCGCGTCAATACAGTACACTTCACCATCCTGCCAAAGACAGGGTTATTACAGTTAACTACAACTATTCAAAACAGTTCTGTTCATTGAAATAACGTGTAACTAAAATATAAATATTAGTTGAAACACTAAAATTACTAAATAGAAATAAATAAAAAAAATAATAAAACTGAAATAAACTTTAACCTAAATAGTAATTGAAAAAAATAACTAATAAAAAAGATAAAAGCAAAGATCAAAACGACAAAAAAAAATTATGGAACTTAAAATTGAAATGAAACAGAAATTATGAAAATAAAATTCAATATATCAATAAAAACTATAATGGTATATAATGATGGTATGTAAATAATAATAATAAAAGCAAAAAGTAAAACAATAAGAATATATTAATATAAACTATAATATGCGACCCTGGAGCACAAAAGCAGTTTTAAGTCACTTGGGTATATTTGTAGCAATAGCCAAAAATATATTGTATGGGTCAAAATGATTGATTTTTCTTTTATGCCAAAAATCATTAGGATATTAAGTAAAGATCAATTTTTATAAACCTCAATTTCGAAAAATTGACCCTTATGACTGGTTTTGTGGTCCAGGGTCACATATATAGTTTATATAATAATAATAATAATGATAATAAAACAAATTAGACTGAAACAAGTTTTAGTTGAAGAGGTAAAATTACGAACTGGAAATGAATAAGAAATATAACTATAACTGAACTAAAATAAATGTATTATATACATTTATATAAATATAATTTAAATAGTCAAATAAAAAACGAATGAAAACAGAGCAAAATTACTAAAATGAAAATCAAAATGAAACTGAAATGATAAAAAAATAAAAGCTAATTCAATATATTAATAAAAACTATAATAGTGCATAATGTAAATAATAATAGTAAACAAAAATGAGAAATTTTGCCTTGGCAACTGACTGAAATAAACTGCAAGCACTAGAATTAATAACTGAAAATAAACAAAAACTAAAGCTGAAATAAAACCTAAATAAATTGCATTTAAATCTAAATAGTAAAAACTATTAAAAATGAAAAACACAGTGCAGAATTACTAAAACATCTAAACGTAATGATAAAAATAAAAGCTAATTCAATATATTAATAAAAAATTATAATAATATGTAAAGTATACAATTTATATAATGTCTGATGGCCTGGAATTCCAGATAATAGATGCTGATAGTGTGGCTCTCTGAGAACTAAATATTACTTACATTACACATAGATTTATATTGATTTGATAGATTTAGATTTATAGACGTTTATATTGCATTGTGCATCATGAATCGCCACCATGCATGCTATTTTTGGTCAGGAAATCAAACATTTTTTCATTGGTTCTCATATTTGTTATGTATTTGTATAGTGCTTTTTACAATACACTTTGTTTAAAAGCAGATGTTAAAGGTAGGGTATGTAATTTTTCAAAAACGCTTTAGAAAACTGATTCGGGCCGAATAGCAAAACAAACTTGTAGCCAATCAGCAATAAGGGGCGTGTCTACTCATGATGTGGAGGAGAGAGCGTTCAGTGCACAGGACGGACATTACCGAGCCGAGCGACAGAAAGATAGAGATGGTGGATAAAAAAAAAAACAAAAGAGGAAAACATCTGCGGAACGATAAGGTAAGAAGTAGGACCCGTGTAAATATCGGATCAGCTTTCCAGCGCTGGAGAGAACTCAAGGAGCGGAAGGCCTGCGATCAGACACAGAGATTGCTTTGTTTCTTCTCGATAGGTGAGTAACACCGTGTCTGCGCCGCAACAGCTAAAGTCTGCCTACACTGGACGCGATCAAACGACCGTTGAAAACCATTTGAAATTTGTGTCAGCATGTCATAAATAGAACCCGGCAGCAGTTTTCTGTCGGGGATTTGTTGCGCCACGCCACTCACGTCTGGTGTAGACACGGTGTAACACTGGTTTTGCTTTGTTTCACAGAACTAATCGTTGCCTGGGTTGTGTACGTATGTGTGGGGCGGAGCTATCAAAATAGGGGCAAGATCCTTTTGGGGTAGGGGCGTGTTTGTTTTGGTGGCCTTTAAAACAGGCCTTTAGACGGTCCACAATCTGGACTGAAATCAGTGACACGACACCTTGTTGTCCAGATCAAAGAGGTACGAATCGTCCTCCCTCACGTCTGCTTCTGCGTCAGAGATCAGCTCGCCAACATACCTGCACAAACACACACGTTACAGCAGAAATAACAGCTGTCCTGCTGAAAACATACAGCCTGAATGCTTTTACTCACTCGCAGATGAAACTTCCTTGAGGAATGTCCTGAAGCGCTCTGACGCCCCATCCCATCTTCTCCGTCCGGTAGAGCTGCAGACGCACCCTGAAACACACGATCCACTTCAGCCAGCAGCTTGCGCAAAAGCACTTCTTTAAAACACTTGAGGTTCATTTGACCCGCAAATCATCCCAATACAGCAAATCGATTATGAAAATCATCCTGGCTTACTTAATTCCAGCTTGAACCACTCGGTTCTTGCAGGATTTATGGCAGGAACAGGCCATGTTGCACTCGAAGATCAGAGGCGGCTCGATTTTATTAAACTCCTGAAGGAGGCGATGATCCTACGAGAACACATGTGTGCTGTTATACAGGATCCATGTTGATTGTAGAGCTCATCATGGAGATGAAGCAGTATTTTACCTTGTCATACCAGCAGCGGATGCTGAGCTGCCCGCAGAGACAGTTACTGGAGGAACAGTCGTCTGTACAGCTGCAGTGCTGAAACAAACACAGCTCTCTATAAAATCAGCACATTAAGGGGCCGTTCACATGTCGTGCCTAAAACGTGTGGAAAACACTAGGTGCGCTGCTTTCTGCTTTTTTCCAAAGCGTTCGGGCGCTTGCGCTCTGGAGGCGTCTGCCGTTGCTAAGCAACCATGACCTGCGCTCTCCATGAAGATGTGGAAGTTTCAGCAAAGGATCAATGGATTTGCAGCACTAAAAATCGCTTGCAGTAGCTCTGCTACTAAAATGTATTTTAAAATGACTATCCCTGTACAGCTACATTTAAAATAACGAACTTGAGCGCGCAAAAGACGCGATATGTGAATGGCCCCTAAGTGTGGTAGTCCTATTATGAAGAACAATTAGGGCCGAGTAATACTGAATATGGTGATATAATATGAATATAGTCATATATAACATAGAAAAAAAATTGTGTGGGTTTTCATTTTGGTTTCTAACATCCTAAGTGTTTTTTCTCTGAGGGTTTTATTTTTATTTATCTGCAAATAATTATTTATTTTTCTTTTATTGACATTGACTTGAGAACAGATCAGTCTTTTTGGTTGGTTTAGTCATAAAAAGTGTCTGAATTGATTTGAATCAAAATTACAGTTTCCATGATTCAGTTGTTTCAAAAGTCAATTTCAACGAATCAATTCAAAGCAACGATTCAATGATTTGTTTGCATCTCAAAACTGTTCATAGATGTAAGAACTTTTCTGACAGACACGGACTAATATTATTCACCAAGACTGCATTAAATGAATACAAAAAATTACAATAAAGACAATTATAATGCTTAAGCATTTTTTTAATTTCAAATAAAAGCGGTTCTTTTTTAACTTTGTTTCCATGATTCCCCAAAAATATGGAGCAGCTCATCTGTTTTCAACAGTTTTGATAATAATCAGAAATATTTCTTGAGCAGCAAATCAGCATAGACTTATTTCTGAAGGATCATGTTACACTGAAGACTGGAGCAATGGGGAGTAATGGAGTACTTTTTTGCTGCATTTTAAATCAAACAAATGCAGCCATTCTGAGCAAAAGAGACTTCTTTCAAAAACATTAACAAATCTTACTGACCCCAAACTTTTCAATAGATGTCCATGTTGGAAAATATCGCTCTTTATTGTAGTATCAGTGCATATGAATAAATATCATTACATATCATTCTTCCTTGTATTCATCTATATTGTTGTGTGTGAAGTGTGTTTTGTGAACAGTGTATTCTGTAGTACCTGCAGGTGTGTGATGTTGCGGTCGATGTTCATGGTGGATGTTTCACAGTTCTCTGCGATGTATTTGTAGTCAGACGGACAGCCTTCATCGTCCACGCCGTTAACACACGGGATGGGAACATTCTCGTAACCCTGAGCGACGTCACTACACAACACACACGAACGCACACACACACACAAGCGTTATTAACTACAACTAAAGGTATTAAAAGTAGGGATGCACCGAAATGAAAATTCTTGGCCGAAGTCGAATAAAATGAAACACTGGGCCGAAGGCCGAATACGGTTTTCCGCATTTTTTCCCCCATTTTGCCAATTTTTTTCACCATTGCATAAATCAAATAGCCAAAATGTGTTTTAAAAATATTTACTTAACACTGAACATTTTTTTACATTCTAGCAGACATTATACCAATAAAACACAATTTCACTTAAAATTAACAAGTTTAATTAACAAATATTTTTTGGCCATTTTTGAGACCCCCTTCTTCAATCAGGCATGTATTTTTTACTGTACAAATAAACACAGCCTTGCTGAGCAGAAGAGACTTCTTTTAAAACATTAGAAAATATTACAGATCCCAGTCTGAACACTATGTGTGAATGCTATAATAAATGTATTAATAGAGCTGTTGTAATTATTATCCTTTTTATTTTATTTTACAAAAATTACAATAATAACATTTATTAATGTTGGAGTTCTTGCTTTTTCTCAGCTTTTATTTTGACCTCAGACCACACACTGACCTGCATATGATCCTCTCTGTCCGTACAACACGATTGGAGATTCCCCGACGCAACTTCCTGTTAATCTGTAGCGCCACCCAGACGGGCGTGTCACAGCGGGCGAGAGAGAGCGGCGTGTCGCCCTCCTTATTCATAATGTCGATGTCAGCGCCTCGAGAAAGAAACAGCCTGGAGTAAAGACGAACAGAAGACGTCAGATGAGCCTACGACACCAAAAGCAGCTCTCAGGCGGCGTTTGACCCACGTGACGCAGTCGGTGTAGCCCTCGCGAGCAGCGATGTGCAGCGGCGTGTCTCCGTGCAGGTTAACAGACGACAGAGGACAGCCGGCATTCAGGACCAGCTCCACTATCTCAGCACTGCCCGCGAACGACGCCCAGTGCAGACAAACGTTCATCTCCTGCACAGACAGACAGACACTGTGAGACAGGGTAGACAATGTATACCACCAAATAGACCACCATAGACAATGAGGAGGACAAGTCCCCACCAACAATTAGAATTCTGTCATGACAACTCTCGGAGGGATTGGTAATGTACTCGCATGGTAATGTACATGACAATGTTAATGTATTTGGTCTTGGCGGAATAGATCTGCGGCAGAGCAAGTACAGAGACTTGCTACTGCCAATACATCCACAACATGCTGCTGTAAACATGTAAGAAATATTGCTGCTGCACATATAACACATGTGAATAACCCCCCATATATCATACATGAATCACCCCGTAGCAGATCTATACATGTGGAGCTGGGGATGGTGGAGGGTTTCTGAAGTGCGCTGCTACTGCTACAGCAAACAAAAGTATTTTATATAATATAGGATATAAATATAGGAGAGAACCAATCAGCTGCCATGTGACGATGTCGCCAGGTCAGACTGAGCTAGACCTATTGGACTGCGCCATCTAGAGTTTCATGCCAGATGAACATTCATGCCAGTTATATGGCCAATCTGTCCCGCCCAATATTTGAAATTCTTGCACTGATCTGCAGCACTCCACTCTGATTTTTAGGATGACAAAAAGGTTTAAAAGTTAAATTTTCAGCCTGGCCTCCTTAACAGCGCTCGTCAATGTCAAAATAATTGAGAGGGCCAATCAAATCAAAGTATGCGGGCTTTACTGTTCACAGAAGCAGATTGTGGATTTCAGCACAGATCATCAATTTAATGTTGAAAGAGAGCGAGGTGAGATGGAAGTTGCAAATCATTTAACATTAGTCAACTGTTTTATGATAGAAAAGTTAAACGACAGCTATATTCAGTGATGCAAACTACTCCACTTTTTCCTCAAATATGGCTATTTTTAAAGGTTGCGAGAAAGAGAGATTGAAGTTGCATGTGTGAATTAAGTTACATCAGTGTTTGTGTCTCTCTACAAACAATGAAGCTGTGAGTTTTACTTCAAAACCACCTCGTTGCTGAGAAATATAGTGTAGCCATAGGATTTAGTATCGCTATTTTATTAATAAAAGTCAGTGTTGACAGCAAGTTTCTGAATGTTTCTGTGTGCAATCTCTGATCTCTGTGCGTCAATGAAAGCAGCGCATTAATATAGAGTGGTGATTAAACTGACGACTTGGAATTAAATGGTTTAAATGTACATCTGCATATATATATATATATATATATATACATATATATATATATATATATATATACACATACACGTATATAAAGTTGCTCCTAAAGTTGGTCCCCTCCAATGTTCACGACATGGTTACAGTATATATATATATATATATATATATATATATACATATATGGTTTAAATGTACATCTGCATATATATATATATATATATATAGATATATATATACACATACATGCATATAAAGTTGGTCCCCTCCAATGTTCACGACATGATTACAGTATATATATATATATATATATATATATATATATATATATACACATACATGCATATAAAGTTGGTCCCCTCCAATGTTCACGACATGGTTACAGCCTTGCGGTGAGAACGCTCTCTCATTTCCTGCAAAACTCATATGATTCACAAGACTCACTTTGTCTCGGACCGTGACGTCGGCTCCTCTGTTGAGCAGAGCTCTGATCACGTCTATATGTCGATGTTCTGCCGCCCAGATGATGGGCGTCCAACCGCCGCTATCCTGAAACACAGAGATGAGGTGCAAACTAGGGAAAGCTTTTTTTACGTCAAAGAATATGAATATATATATATATTAAAAAAAATAACAAAAAGGGTAATTGCAACTTCCTATCTCACAATTCTGAGTTTGTATCTTACAATTCAGAATGTTTTCTCAGAATTGCAAGATGGCAATTGCAAAATGTTAACTCACTATTGCAAGTTTATAACTCACATTTCAGAAGAAAAAATCTGATTAAGAGATAAAGTACAATTTTGAGAAGATAAGTATTTTAGCGAGTTCATAATAGTGAGATATACAATTGCTGTTATGAGAAGAAAAGTCTGAATTGTGAGATAAAAAGTCAAGCCTTGTGAGCTTGTTTCCTTAACAGAATATAAAAATAAAAAAGGTTATTTTTATCTCACAATACTGATTCTTCTCAAAACTGCGAGTTTATATCTCAGACTTTTTTCTTGCAATTCTGAATTGTGAGATATAAAATCAGAATTAACTCGTAATTTGGAGTTTGTGAGTTCATAATAGTGAGATATACAATTGCTGTTATGGGAAGAAAAGTCTGAATTGCAAGATATAAACTCTTAATTGTGAGGGGAAAAAAACAGAAATGTTAGTATGTTTCTGTCATGGAATAATAAAAAAAAAAAAGTAATTGCTACTTTTTAATCTCACAATTCTGAAAAAAGTCAGAACTCTGAGACATGAACTCATAGTAATTGCAAGATGTTAAAGGATCAGTTCACTTCCAGAATAAAAAAAATTCCCTATAATTGACTCACCCCCATGTCATCTGAGATGTTAATGTCTTTCTTTTTTGAGTCACAATGAAATTAAGTTTTTTGAGGAAAACATTCCAGGATTTTTCTTCAGTGGTGCTCACTGGATTGAAGGTTAAAATGCTGTTTTAATGCAGCTTCAAAGGGCTCTACACGATCCCAGCCGAGGAATAAGAGCATGATCTAGCTAAACGAATGGTCATTTTCACAAAAAAAATTAAAATTTTAACTTTTAACCAACCATTTTAACCACAGATCCTTCTCTTGCTCTAGCTCTGCTTGCGCATGCATCTTCACGCATTATGTAGTCATGTTCGAAACGTCACTTTTTGGTTGAAAAACTGTCAAGAGACGAACTAATGAGTTCAGAAACACACCTGTGTGTTTAAGTCCACCTGTCCGGTGCTCAGTAACAGCATCAGCACCTCCAGGTTCCCCAGTTTAGCAGCGTGATGAAGACCTGTAGATCCATCCTCTTCCTGAACAACAAACACTAGGACTGTCAAAATGGCTAAAAAACTAAATTCGAATTTTAGTACTTAAATATTGTCAATATTTGCATTTTGCAAGGCATGATTTCAGTTAGGGGGAGAAAAAGCTTTTGGCTTCTCTCCTGAGACCACAAGAGGGCGCATCGAGCAAAATATTACTATTGCACGTTTATTCAAAGCATTAAAATAACACGACTATCTGTGAAAAAAGTGCATAATGTTTAAAATAAGGTTTATAAACCAAATATTATTTAAGTTGCTTAAACAATTAGAAACAAAACAGCATCATGTATGTATGCATAGTTTAATACAAAGGGCCAAAAACCCATCACAAAGAGTACTTTTTTCATTTAAAATCATGATATGCAGTGGGATGGGAAAAAAAGTTGAACTTACATTAATTTTACATGGCTTTCTAAACATGCGTCTCTCTTGTGCGAGACGCGAGTGCAGCGGTGATAGATGTCCCTATAGAAAATGTGATAAATATGCGTTCTGTGTGAACGGCTTGGTTCCAGTTTTGACGTAAACAAGCTCTTCTCCGTATTTATGTTCCTTTTTTTGAATGAACAATGCAGCAGCGCCACATGTCATCTAGTGGGTTCAACTGGATAGGCTAACAAAAACATTAAAACACTTCCATTGTCATCGCATCTCGCGTGTCACCAAAAGTGGATTTTTATTTTAAATTCCACGAATATTTTAAATTCAAATGTTTATTTGACAGCACTACTGAACACACTCACAACATCAAACAGAGCATGGTCATGCGTTTGATTCACACATGAACTGATCAAATGCAACTCAAGTCGCACTTTGTCTGCCAAAATGCATTTATGTTCATTTAACTTCACACAAAGCTAGAATATTTATGTTATGAATGTTATGAATATTCAAGTGGTTCGGGCTATTTTTTTTTTAAGTCAAGAACTGCCAAGATATGAGGAATAATTGACCCCTGACTGTTGAATTTTTAAAAATAAACCCAAACTCAGTGTGTAACAGCAATTATGATTAACATGCATTTTCATTGGTCCACTGTCAGATATTACAGACAACAAAGGCTCTGGATCAGGAGTGTGTGTGCGTGATACTCACTGCATGATAGACGCAGGCTCCGCTCTGGATCAGGTATTTCACCACCTCCACATGATTGTTCACTATGGCCTCTAACAGAGGGGTCCTCAGGGTCTTATCCTGGGCGTCCACCTTAGCTCCTGCCTAAAATTAACCACAGCACAAAAGCAGGAATTTTAATGGAAACTTTCCTCAGATACAAACTGAGACAAGCCCATTACTCAAAAAACAACAGCAATTCTCTGCAGCAGTGATTCCTAAACTTTGTTTTGTCAGCCTTTGACCTGAAATGCTGTCTTGAAGCCCCCTAAGATTTTCAGTTAATGTTTTAATGATTTATCAAAACATTTGCATCTTCTCTAATGTCAGATAACGGTCACATGACAAGCAGATAAATAATAATTATCATCATTTATTTATTTTCATTTAGCATTTGTGCTTTAATTACATCTTTTAATTTGATTGTTTTTATTCTTAAATTATGCATTTTCATTTACATTTTTATGGTTTAACTAATTAAGTATTATATATAATTAAGTATTTTATTTTGATCATTTAAAAATAAATTAAAACCTATAAACAAGTCGCACTTTGTCTGCCAAAATGCATTTATGTTCATTTAACTTCACACAAAGCTAGAATATTTATGTTATGAATGTTATGAATATTCAAGTGGTTCGGGCTATTTTTTTTTAAGTCAAGAACTGCCAAGATATGAGGAATAATTGACCCCTGACTGTTGAATTTTTAAAAATAAACCCAAACTCTGTGTAATAGCAATTATGATTAACATGCATTTTCATTGGTCCACTGTCAGATATTACAGACAACAAAGCCTCTGGATCAGGAGTGTGTGTGCGTGATACTCACTGCATGATAGACGCAGGCTCCGCTCTGAAATCATGGAAACAGAAAAAATCTTAAAAAATTGTCATAAATATAATTTTTCTAGTTATGTCAAGTTATGTCAAATTCCTTTTTGTAAGTAAACAATCTAAAATTCATGTTAAACTAAACGAAAATAAGAAATGTTTCCTTGGCAACTAGCTGGTTGATGCATACAACACCCAAGACTACAAAATATACAGTTGAATTCCATTTCCCATAATGCAATGCACTCTCAGTGTGACGACTGAACCAGAAATAATAGAATCTGCAATTTTGAACATCTCTTTCTTCACTCATTTTTTAGACTGACAATAATAAAGAATCACATGGTCACCTCTCAGTGTCCTGTGTGAGAATGGCTCTCTGTAGCGCCGCCCTCTTGTCTCCCGGCGGAAGTGCACTGGGACAGACTGGCTTCCCATTGGGCAGGACGAGCGACGGTCCCACACTGTCCACCCCGCCGTCGCCCAGGGCAACCACATCCTCTCCTGGAGTGGCATTGGCCTGCTGAGTTTGCAGCTCCGCCCCCTTTCTTACATCTCCACGACATCGCATCCTTGCACTGAGTGGAAATAAACATTTCAATCAATATATTTCTGTCATGAAAACTCTCGGAGTGATTTGCATGGTAATATACATGATTAATGTATTCGGTCTTGGCGGAATAGATCTGCTACGCTGCTGCTGCGGCAGAGCAAGTACAGAGACTTGCTGCTGCCGATACATCCACAACATGCTGCTGTGAGCATGTAAGGAATATTGCTGCTGCACATATAACATGAATAAGCCCCATAGCATACATGATCACCCCGTACAAGATCTATATAGGTGGAGCTGGAGAAGGGGGGAGGGTTTCTGAAGTGCGCTGCTACAGCAAACACTGCCAAGTATTTGAATGTTGAGCAGCGAGCTCACTGGCTACCGATACAGGAGAGAACCAATCAGCTGTGCCATGTGAAAATGATGTCATTATGTCATATTGAGTTAGATCTATTGGACTGCGCCATCTAGAGTTTCATGCCAGAACTTTGTATTTGGTACAAATGGCAACATTAGACAAAACACTTGTTTTTGTTTACTATTAAATAAATAACATTAATAAAGAAATACAATTTTGTATATAAAAAATAAAATAAAAATCAGTTTATTTAAAAACTGTTCTATAATGTGTTTTAAAAGCTATCTTTGTAAGAGGAGATTTTTTGAAGTGATGATAGTAAACATAAATATGAGCTATTTTACTATTAAGCAACGCATAGAACTCACTTGATCAGCTCGCCCATCTTCTTCTCGTGGTTTAGCGCTCGTGATGTGGCCGCGAGCGCAGAGGGAAGTAGCGAGGGTGTGGTTGTGGTGGACGACGCACTTGCAGTGACCACGTTCGAGCCTGAAGAGGGCGCTGCAGGAGGGATAGTGACTTCACGCGCCTCTGACGCGTCCTCACCGCAGTGAGGGCAGAACAGCAGGCCGACGCCCACTCCTCCTCGACTCCGCCCACCGCCCAGCACAGACACACAGCCCCGGTGGAAGCGGTGAGCAATGTGAACGTCTGGACAACATTCAAGAAACGTTCCCTGTGTGCGAAGAGGGGGATCTTTGAGCTTTCTGTTTGTGCACTGATGAAAATCTAATTATTTCTATCATAAAATTTAAATAATACATAATTTAAAAATAAAATACAATTAAAATAAAACACTTACAAAAAAATGAAACATTTTATTAGTTAACCATTAACTTTTTTATTAAGATTAAATTTTATTAAGAACCATTAACAAGTAAAATATGTTATTAAATTACTGAAATATGTTAATATAATCACCGTATTAAAGCATTTAAGGACCGGTTTCAATGAATAGTCCACAAAAATGTATAAATGAATAAATAAAATTCTGTTTTAAAAACTCTAAAATTATTTGTAACTAGCTGTTCCAAACCTATATGCCTTTATTTGTGACAGTGTTATTTAGTATCTGAGTTATTAGTAACTGAGATAGTATTATAGTTCTAATCAATAGTTTGAATTAGATTTTTTTTTTTATATATTTTCTGTTTTCACTTTCATTTTAGGTTTTATAAAAACATTTTTTAGGTTTTAGGCTTTTTATTATTACTTTTAAATTACTATTAATTTATTTATTAGTATATCAGTGATACTAAAATAAAACCGCCTCATGCATACAATTTGGTGCTATTTTAGTCTCATTAAGATACTATTATAGTTTTTTATTAATAGTTTGAATTAGTTTTTACTTTTATATTTTCTGTTTTCATTGTAATTTTCAAGTTTTTTTTTTTTTTTTTAAATGTCTATATACTTTTTATTCATTTTTATTTTAGTTTTAGTTATTATAGTAAGTTAAACTAAATGAAAATGAGAAATGTTGCCTTGGCAACTAAATTTAAAAATATGTTTACGGTCAAGTTAAAGTTAATTTTATTTCAAGTTTTTTGTTTTATTTAACTATAAAAACCCTGTAAAACAACCACTGTTGTATGATAAACAGCTGTGTAAAATACTTCTTTTTTTTATTTATTTGAAGGGATAGTTCACCTTTTACTCACCCTCATGCTGTTCCAAACCTGTACAAGTTTCTTTCTTCTGTTGAACACAAAAGATATTTGGAAGAATGTTGGTAACCAAACAGTTGCTGGTAGCCATTGACTTCCATAGTATTTTTTTTCACACTACAGAAGCCAGTGGCTACCAGCAACTGTTTGTGATCAACAGAAGAAAGAAACTCACACAGCTTTGAAAAAAACTTTAGGATGAGTAAATAATGACAGAGTTGTCATTTTTGGATGAACTATCCCTTTAAATAACGACATACAACATAGGGGTGAGTAAATAATGTGTTTAGCTTTTTTATTTCTTCATATAACCTGGTTTTTGTTTTCAGAGACACTCACAGAGAGACAGAAGTATCCACAGCCCGGACAGCAGTGATGTTTCACCATGTGTGAACGGTGCGTCTCACACAACACCATTAGAGACACACGGCTGGACGGACGCATTGTCTCCCCCTTCACGATCACATTGGTGCAGCCCACCAACTGAAACACACAGAGGACGGGAGGAACCACACGAGAGAGACGGGTGGATCAGTCACTCAGCACAAACATACTATAAAAATTATCTGTTCAAAAGCACAGTGAGCTACTTTTACTGTCTTTATAGCAACATTTCAACCCAATTCAGTTCATTTTAACTTATAAACCACTGAAGAGAGACCAACTCGAAACGTTGCAGCATGTATGTGTCCTAAACGAAAGTTTCATACAAATTCTGAATGGATTATAGCCTAGAAAGCACGCTCTCATTATTATCACTAAAATCATCACTCATCTTAGTTCACTGCGATCTCACAAAGTTCCGTTATAATCAATGAAGCTCTCTAAACTACACAATGAATCACGTCTGCACTTATGAGACGATTCACAAGCATGCAAAACTCCTGCGCTTTCAGCGGTGAGTGAATTCTGAAAACTCAAACGTTTCTGATTGGCCATTGCGTTGAAGAAATCAACAGATAATTTTCTGTTAATTTACGATAAAACGATACAATACCTGGAAAATTATCTATATTCAATACAATTATCAATATCACGACAATGAAAAAAATATACAGGTGCATCTCAATAAATTAGAATGTTGTGGAAAAGTTCATTTATTTCAGTAATTCAACTCAAATTGTGAAACTCGTGTATTAAATAAATTCAATGCACACAGACTGAAGTAGTTTAAGTCTTTGGTTCTTTTAATTGGGATGATTTTGGCTCACGTTTAACAAAAGAAACGAATTGTAATAATTTTCTCTTATTGGACAAGATTTTTAAATACTATTTTACACCAATTCCTAGACGAGGATTTCCATGACTATAAATTTCCATTACTTTTTTATATTTAAAATTAAACTAAAAATAATGTTGGAAGAATTATAATAAAAAAAAAATTTATTTACACAACTTTTTAATATTTGACTAAAAAACTCTTTAAAATGTGTTGTCTCTATGTACATACACAACATCTTTTAATCAGCAGTTTTATATCTCTCCATTTTCTTCTAATTCGATTATGTCATTCGCAATGCTTCTTTCCCTCAATAAAGAACAAAGTCCTGTCTCTTTCTTCTTGTCCGACTGCCAGGCTTTTTTTAGCTTTAAATCAAAGCTTTTAATGTTGTGAATCACTTCGAAGCCATTTGGTTTGGTTTATGGCTTTTTTTAAATCCCTATGGGAAACAAGTGCGCTCAGCAGTCCAGGCTCACCTCTCCGTTGATGCTCTCTATGGCCATGCAGGTTCTGTTGGAGCGAGCGCTGAATCCGTCCACACGCGGCGCCTCCATCCTGCAGCTGCACAGAGGAAGCTCCTCCAGACGCTCGGTTTCTGCATCACTGCCATCTGCACACACATCATGTGACGTTAAACACACAGGCTTTATATTGGGATTATTTGGCCATAAAGACGAGGCTAATTTATCTCACACACAATGGTCATTCAAAGTGCTTTAAATAAAAAAGAATTTTATAATAACCATAACACATGTATAAATAATTGAAAAATAAAATATGCAAAAATGATAAAACCACATGTTATAAATCATATTTATTTTTGTGGAAAACCATGCTAAATTTTATTTTGTTAAATGTTTAATTATGTTACTTTTGTAACATTATAAATGTGTTTTGATCAATTTAATGCTTCCTTGATGAATAAAAGTGTTTTTTTAATAGTAATACTAGCAGTATATCACAGTTTCCACAAAAATATGAAGCAGCACAGCTGTTTTCAGCATTGATAATAATGAGAAATGTTTCTTGAGCAGCAAATCAGTATATTAGAATGATTTCTGAAGGATCATGTGACACTGAAGACTGGAGTAATGCTGCTGGAAATTCAGCGTTGACCACAGGGGAAAAAAAGACATTTTACAACATATTCACACAGAAAACTTTAAATATTTCACAATATTACTGATTTTACTGTATGTTTGGTTAAATAAACACAGCCTTGATGATTCTAAGGGACTTTTTAAAAAACTTTTAAAAAATCCTAACTCTTCCAAACTTCAGACAGTCAGTGTAGCTCATCACACACCTGCGTGTGGAGACAGAGAGAGGCTGTCCGCTGCAGAAATGTCCAGTGAGTCCAGAGGAACCTCAGTGTAGTCAGTGCTGCCCACTGTGACTGCAGATTCCACACCTGACACACAGAGACAGCTGCTCACATCTGTTCACTCTCTCACACACACACACTCAGGTGTCTGTCTCACCTTTATCTGTCTCCAGCCCTCCAGCGGGGGGTCTGTCTCTCCCTTTACCCTTCCCCTGACGTTTCCATGTCGACTCGTCTCTCTCTGCAGATGTTTTCTTATAAGCAGCGAGGGGCCGATCGGAGTCAGAGCTCTGACAAACACGACACACTCGTTACATTCACTGTAGCTTACATCAAACTAATCTGAGAACTGCTCGTTTCGATATGATCTCAAAAATGCTATACATACACACACACGACTTGTACAACTGCACAGCAAAATAAAACATAATGAGTATTAATAAGCATATTCTTTTATTTTACACTGCAGCAGTACAATTACAATGCGAGACGCTTTTATAAATATAGAAAACTAATAAAAAAATATTTAGGAGAATTTTGTCTAAATATTGTGTTAAATGTCTCATTTATTATTTAGAGTACCCACATATTTTGACAAATGAATTGTAGTGAGCTTCCCAAAAATCCCTAACCTTTCCAGTCATCCAAGATTATTGGATGAAGATTTTACATAATATTTTACACCAAATACACTTTCAAAAGCAAGTCCTAGACAATAAAATATTTTAGAGCTGAGCCAGAAAAAAAATATTTTCACTATAGAAATGTATTTAAGTTAATTCAAATAAATGATAATTTAATAAATATAATATTATATATTAATGTATTATTTTAATTATTTTATTAATTTTAAATACTTTTTCATATATATTTCAGGCCTGGAAGTCACATTTTAAAATCAATATTCCAATATTTTCATAATCGTGTCAGCCATCCTGATTTCTAGCAGTGTTATGTTAGTATCACTAATATACTTTTATGGTTTCTTTTAATATTTTGAACTAGACTGCATTTTTATATTTTGTTTCCATTTTAATATTAAAGTTTTAGCAATCTTGTTGTGCATTTTTGTCATTTTATTACCTTTTGCTTTAAAAAAAAAATCTATATAGTTTCAGTTTTTGTTTATTCAGTTTCAGTTATTTTAGAAACAAAATAAATGTTCCCTTAGCAACTAGCTAAAAGTAAATGTTTTACGGTAATTGTATCCCTAATTTCAAGATATTGGCATCAACCAATGAAAAAAAACTGTTAAACTTCCAAAAACCCTGAAACTGTATGAAAATAAGGTGCACTTCCATTGGTCAGAATCACTCACATGATCAGACAGATGCTCCGCCTCCAGCGTCTCTACCATCCCATCATCTGACTGCAAAACAAAAGCACAAGACTCTCAGATCCGCTGCAGCCGTTAAGACTCATTTTCAGTGGTTCAGGTCTGTGTGAACTGTTCACCTTGCTGTCAGAGTAAATCAGATCGTCTCCAGAGTAACTGTTGTAGAGCAGGTGGAAATCTTCCTCATCTGCCTCCTCATCCAGATCCTCCAGCCAACCACTGTGATGCTCTTTAGTCGCCGTGGCAACTGGCTCCACCTTCCCCACCGCTGGAGACACGTTAAGTGCAGGCTGGGAAAAACACACACAGAAGTATTTACATACAGTACGTTAATATTACATTAATTCTAATGAGCAGTGTGATCAAAGCTGTCGCTGTTTACTATAACACACACAGTTCTGCCTCTAAAATCTGACTGGATGAACTACAGATCACCAATACAAACACATGACCACATCATCAGTCATAAACAGGCTAGTTAGAGAAATTAACTACTACATAAAGCAGACTATTATTGTTATTATTATAATTATGATTATTATTAATGAACAAAAATATAATTATTAAGCTGAATTAATTAACGAAAACATTTATGGAACACTGGCTCTACAACATTTACTCTGGAGACGATCTGATTTACTCCGACAGCAATAATAATAATACATTTATTTATTTATTTATGCATTCATTCATTCGATAATAAAAGATACCAATAACATTAATTTAAAATGATTATGTTTATTATTTATTTATTAAACATTGGAACTTTCAATCATATTGCTATGATAAACGATACCAATACCAATAATTAAAAATAACAACAGCAAAAACTGTAAAAACAACAACAATAATTATTATTATTAACGATTTATTAATTCATGCTAAAAGACACCAATAACAATAAGTTAAAAAAAATAATAATGATGATTGTTACTATTATCAATATCGTTATTGTTCATTTGTTTGTTTATTGAACGTTGATACTTTTAATCCTATTACTATTGTAAGAGATACCAATAACAATAATAAAAATTCATATTACCGTAATAATAAAAATTAGGGATGCACGATATATCGGCCACCATATCGGTATCGGCCGATAAATGCTAATTTTTTCTGTTATCGGTATCGGCCTGATAAGAAAATTTGGCCGATATCTTAAAGCCGATAAATAATGCATTATTTCCTTCAGAGACACTTCAGATGCGCTTGAAGTGTTTGGGATGTGGCTTTTAATGATGAGACCTTTTTTGTAATCAGGCTCTCAAAAAGTATATAACAATTTGGATATAGATTTATCGGCCAACATATCGGTTATCGGCTTTCAAAAATAAAGAATAATCGGTTATCGGTATCGGCCAAAATTTTCATATCGGTGCATCCCTAATAAAAATAATTATTAATTTTTGTATTTATTGAACATTGGCCTTTTTATAATATTGCTATGATGAACGATACCAATAACACGAACAATGACTAAAATTAACAATAAATATTATTATTAGTGCTGTCAAGATACAAGTTGTTGTTTACATAATATATGTGTGTGTACTGTGTATATTTATTATTTAGATACACACACATGAATGCATACAGTGGGGAAAAAAAGTATTTAGTCAGCCACCAATTGTGCAAGTTCTCCCAATTAAAAAGATGAGAGAGGCCTGTAATTTTCATCATAGGTATACCTCAACTATGAGAGACAAAATGAGAAAAAAAATCCAGAAAATCACATTGTAGGATTTTTAAAGAATTTATTTGCAAATTATGGTGGAAAATAAGTATTTGGTCAATAACAAAATTTCATCTCAATATCCCCTTTATTGGCAATGACAGAGGTCAAACGTTTTCTGTAAGTCTTCACAAGGTTTTCACACACTGTTGCTGGTATTTTGGCCCATTCCTCCATGCAGATCTCCTCTAGAGCAGTAATGTTTTGGGGACATTCGTAATGTCTTACGAAGCCACTCCTCCGTTGCCCGGGATCATTGTCATGCTGAAAGATCCAGCCACGTTTCATCTTCAATTCATGAAAATATGTTGTTTATATGATAAATATATTTATAAACAGTGTTGGGGAAAGTTACTTTTAAAAGTAAAGCATTACAATGTTGCGTTACTCCATAAAAAAGTAACTAATTACGTTACTTAGATACTTTTTATGGAAAGTAATGTGTTACGATACTTTTGCGTTACTTTTTAAAATCTGGACAGGGCTTGCTAGTTTGTTTTTAAAATAAAAAAGTTATATTTTCAGCAAATATAAAAGCCTTTTCACACCAAAAGTGAAATGAATAAGTCTCAGGCTGAAGGGAAAGTAAAGTTACGTCCGTACAGTAGAATGCAGAAGAAGACATTTCAACACACTTCAGCAATAAACAAAGACACAAATGTTTGTCTAGAGTAATTTTTGCTTAGTGCAGTTGAACTGAATCATCGAAGGTCAGAAGCAAAGACATTGGTTAATAGAATGGGATTAAATACATAAAGGATATTTGTGTTGTTTAACATTTAATTATTGCAGGTTTGCGTCATATTCTGTGTTGCATTATTTTTATTCGTTTTGAGGAATACTGAATCTGTGTTGTTTTTGTTTTTTGTGAGTGAGATGAATGAATGCATATTCATATTTATTTTAGAACTACAGTAACATCTTCTGATTTCTCTTAACATGGGGACAGGAGAGCTGTCAGTCAATACATTGAAAAAAAAGTTACTTGCGTTACTTATTTGAAAAAGTAACTCAGATATTCTCTTGTAAATTAAAAAGTAATGCGTTACTTTACTAGTTACTTGAAAAAAGTAATTTGATTACTTAACTCGCGTTACTTGTAATGTGTTACCCTCAACACTGTTTATATATATATATATATAATATCAAATATAAGAATATAAATATATGCATATATTTACATGTATTTACTTTCAAAATACTTACTGTATGTGTGTGTATTTATACATACATAAATATACACAGCACACATACATATATTATGTAAACAAAAACTTTTATTTATGCATGTATATATTTAAGAAAAATATATATTTATGTATAATATAAATTATATAAATATATACATGTAAATATTTTCAATATATATACTGCATGTGTGTGTCTTTATACATACATAATAAATCTACACAGTACACACTCATATATTCTGTAAACAAAAACGTTTATTTTGGATGCAATTAATCGTTTGACAACACTATTGGACACCAAACTTCAGAATCACAGACTGATCTGTAAAACACATGAGCACCTGTAAAAACACACCTCACCTAGGAATGATTCAGTGGATGTGGTGGGACGTCCCGTCACGTCTTCCATCTGTTTTCCCTTTACAGGCGGAATCAGCTCCACTAACAAAACAAACCCAAAACAATTAGACAAAGAAAAAACTAATTCAAATTAATAGAGAAACACATCTACAGAAATTTAGGCCAATGTTACAAAACTGTTCAAAAACGTGATTTTAAAAAAAGAGATGTTTTGATATTTTTTGTAAACTATTTCATAATATGACTGCGTTTAGCCTAACATGAATAAACATTCGCAGATATCATGTTTTATTTGCAATGAACTGATAATTAGGTCAAAAATTTCACGTGCACAATATATATTTTTTTAAATCACCAGTAAAAAAAACACCATAATGCGTTTATTTGTTTACTAACTGCTCACAATATAAAGAAATGTAGGCCTGTATTCAAAATCATTTTCCTTTTTTTAAAAAAAAAAAAAACTAAACAAATGCTTCAATCTTGAATTTTATATGCTGAAATCAGGCATAGAAATGAGATAATGTGCAATATAAATGAAAGAAAAAAATGCAATAGAAAATCTGGCTGATACTAATAATGTCATACAATCTGTTATTGATGGGAACATCAATATGATCATTTCCAGTCTTATACATCTATACCCGATTTTTTTTTTAATGTGCATTTATAATCGTGAAATAAAATAACATTGTTCAAGTTAAATCAGCAGACAAAACATTTTAAAGCAGCACTATGTAACCTGTGGCGCTCTAGCGGTTAATAAACAGAGCTGCACACATCCCGCGGAAGAACATTCCAACCGGATCTACTTCTCTAAGTTTACGTCTATGGCGATTCACGCAGGTATGTGTTACTCCGCAGCGGTGACCAGGCTACAATAGTCCAACTATAAGTACTTATTATAAGTGTACCGTAGTGATTCGGAATAAGACAAAAACGCGGTTTGGAAGATGAATTCATGATGTACTCGCTCATTATAAACATTTTGCAAATTTTGAACACAGAAAAAAAAAAGTGACATAGTGCTGCTTTAATGTACTGCAGATTAAATCCAAATGTATCTAAGAAATAGCTAACTTAATGAGCTAATACAGAAAATGTTTTGGCCAATGTGAAACACTAATATACCCTCACCTTCCTGTTTGGATTGAGGAGAGCTCCCATCTGATGGGGTCTGGATCAACATAATAAAACAATATATACAGTTAAACATGATATATAATCCAGAAACAATTACAACGTGCTTTTTTTCTACAATGAACTGATAATCATAAGTCATAAATTTCACATGCATGATATTTTAACAGCACCAACCAGCAAACACTGTAAAAAGCATGTATTAGTTTAAAAATCTGCTGACAAGATCAGTGCATCTGTTGTTTAATCACTCAGATGTCACAAAACCTGCACGTTACACTGATGCACTCCAGCACTGCATGCTGCAACAAACCAGCAACGCGTGTAAAGCGGACGCATCGTTTCTATCCTCTATCGGGAATACACATTCATAACACAACCCCAAACGCGCAGATGCACTGTAATTAAGGCAAGCACGTGTAAATGTGTGTTTTATCGTGTGTTGTGTTTTCTCACCTCAGACGCCGACATGATGCCGGATGCGCTCGAGGGGAACCGCAGCGCGCGCAGCCGTCACGACTGCTAAGATAAAAGTCCCTACGACTCCTTCATTCAAGCCTCTTTTTAAATGTATCATTTGTTTTTAAATTTATAAGCCGTGACATATTATTTCCTGTGACATAAAATAATACAACCTGTTAACCACAGAAGGTTTCCACATTTTATTGAACTATTAAAACGTTTCGATAAAACGTTTGTATACTTCTGACACCTTTATACACACACAACGCCAAAAAAAAATCATTAATATCTGTTGATATTTCTGGTTTCCGAAAGCGTGTGGACTTTTATTGTGTAATATTCGGAAGCGGAAGCAACTGTGCTGGGTGTGTTTGACGCCAGTAGCAGAAACTTCCTGGTTGTCGCGCTTCACCTGCCGAAACCGAAGCAATAATTTACACAAAAACACAATCGCCTGCTCATACATATACAACAAGCTGACTGTTCATCGCTACCTCACATCACCTGTGTGAAAGCGGAGAGAAAAGTCATCATTTGAAGCAGAGAAATCAGTCACGCGCTGCTGGAGCACCCAAAGAACACAGTGAGTGAGTAACTTACAGCATTCTATTGAATACATGTAAAGATTTAAGTAGACTAGGCTTTTCATCCACAAATATATATATATAAGTGTCTCCCCCGTTTGTAGCCTGCGAGAATTATTTTGTACAATATCTAAAAGCCCTGTCACAAAAATAAAGAAGATTTTGTTGTATTTAGTTATTATAATACTTTTATTAATTTCCATGTGATCATTTTGTATTCATTAATATAAGATGTTATTTATTTTTTAGAGCCTATTCAGATATTTATTGAGCTTTTAAGCCTTTATATTTATTTAGTGTGCACACACACACACATAGATAATTATAATATTTAAAAAAAAAGTAGTTTTCATGTTTATATTTATATATATATGTCCATTTTAATTTTAGTTCGTTTTAGTAATTTTCTTGTTCTTGTCATTTTTATTTTTTGATTTTGTCTATATAGTTTCTATTATTATTTTTTCTTTTAGATTAATCATTTTAGTACATTAACTTAAAGGAAATTGAGAACTATTACCTTGGCAAGCAGCTGAAATAAAATATGTTTTAAGAGTTTAGCCTATTTATGATTTGTTTGTGTGTGTTTTTTTTATGGTTTTAGTTTCAGTGAACTGTAATAACCCTGCTTCTTAATGGTCATCATCTATTATAAATATGCTGACAGTGCGTCCTCTGCTTTCAAATGTCTGTCAACAATCACATGATTGAAATATTGTAATAAAAACGGTGCTTTTAAAAGCTGATTGCAGATTCATTCCTATAACTATAAGTAGAGTAGAGCAAGGCCTGCGGCACCCTGACCGTGAGTTTATTCTCTGGGATGCATGAACTGATGAATGTACTGTATACCTTGAATGCAGCGTGAGTTTTAAGGGAGAGAGGGATACTAAAATAACACTGCTGTAAGTCACTTTGGGTAAAAGCATCTGCTAAATGCATGAACTGGCTGATGTGTGACCTACAGGTCGATCTTCACGTTGGTCTGTCTGTCTGTAGGAGGATGAGCGTGTTTGCCGGTGGGAAGGATGAAGAGTTCCCCAGCTAGTCGCAGTCGGGACATCGAGCGTCAGGCAGGATATCTGCGGCCGGAGCACTGCGCGCCGCCCCCTCCGCGGACACACTCGGCCGACGACATGTGGTTCATCCGGGACGGCTGTGGCATCGTGTGCGGCGTGATCACGTGGCTGCTGGTCTTCTACGCCGACTTTGTGGTCGTCTTCGTAATGCTGCTGCCGTCGAAGAATGTGGTGTACAGCCTAATTAACGGCGCCTTGTTTAACGGACTGGCCTTCCTCGCCCTGGCGTCACACTTCAAAGCCATGTGCACCGACCCGGTGAGACAAACACACACATGCAATAGTTTATGTAGATTCAACACTAAACCATCCAGGTGTTAAAACATTCCAAAAATGTCATTTTTTTATTTAAATCACTGGACTATAAACAAGACGTTTCGCTGTCTATCCAAACACCTTCATCAGTTGTAAAACACACATGCAATAGTCCTAATCAGACATGAAGCAACACAGATGTGACCCTGGAGCACAAAAGCAGTCTTAAGTCGCTGGGGTATATTTGTAGCAATAGCCAACAATACATTGTATGGGTTAAAATTATTGATTTTTCTTTTATGCCAAAAATCATTAGGATATTAAGTAAAGATCATGTTCCATGAAGATATTTTGTAAATTTCCTACCGTAAATATATCAAAACCTAATTTTTGATTAGTAATATGCATTGCTAAGAACTTCATTTGGACAACTTTAAAGATGATTTTCTCAATATTTCGATTTTTCTGCACCCTCAGATTCCAGATTTTCAAATAGTTGTATCTCAGTCAAATATCGTCCGATCCTAATAATCCATACATTCAATGGAAAGCTTATTTATTCCGCTTTCACATGATGTATAAATCTCAAATTCGAAAAATTGACACTTAAGACTGGTTTTGTGGTCCAGGGTCACATATCCAGCGTTAAGGCCCATTCACACCAAGAGAGATAACTATAATTATAATCCAATTTTAATAATTGCTCTAATTCTATTAGAATAGTGGCATTTACTCCACAACTATCTATCTATCTATTTAGGTGTGAATGAGTCATGTTTCAGTTACAGAATTGCAGACATTGACATGTCGGGTGGCAGATCTATTTTTGCAAGTGTCAAACTACCAATGACTGACCGATAGAGACTCTGAACATGAAACTGATTTATCATTTAATGCTTAATGGCTACAGCACATCTGGAGCTGGCGTTTTGACTCTCTCCTTCCTCTCAGGGAGCCGTTCCAAAGGGAAACGCCACTAAAGAGTTTATCGAGAGTCTGCAGCTCAAGCCTGGACAGGTGGTGTATAAATGTCCCAAATGCTGCAGCATCAAACCTGATAGAGCTCATCACTGCAGGTACACACACACACACACACAGAGCATCGAGAACTGAATCAGCACTGTGTGAGGTTAAATTCCGAGGCAGTTTCCTGCAAATGTCTCATTGTAAGTGTGTGTTTTCTCTGTGTAGTGTGTGTAAGCGCTGTATCAAGAAGATGGACCATCATTGTCCCTGGGTCAACAACTGTGTGGGAGAAAGCAACCAAAAATACTTTGTGCTTTTCACTGTGAGTTTCAAGTTGTTTTAGCATCATCAAGATACTTTTTTATTAATATTTTGAAATAGATTTCATTTTTTTATTTTGTTTTCATTTTCGTATTATATGTAATGTAAAAATTTAATATATAGTTTAATGTTTTAAAATGTAATATTTTACTTAATATTTTAATATATATTTTTTAATCATTTTGTTTTGTGTTTGACATTTCTCGTCATTTTTAATGTCTATATAGTTTTTATTCCTTTTTATTTAAATATTAGTTTTAGATATTTTAGTACAAGTTGCCTTGGAAACTAGCTGTTTTTTTAGATTTTATTTCAGTTAAATATTTATTTCAAGTTTTTTTTATGGTTTTAGTTTTAGGTAACTATAATAAGTCTGATCACAACTACTCACAAAACACACACTGATCAAATCAAATAACCGTGATTTCCACTTTATTTTGTGGCAGAGTTATTTGTTAACTAAAACTAAAATTGTTAAAGACTTGAAAAACTCAATAAAATTATATATTCATTTATTTCATAATTATATATGTTATATGACCAACTTTAAATTGAAATTATAAATGTTGCCTTGGCAACTAACTAAAATAGGTTAAAGCAGTAAAATTAATAACTGGAAATGAGTAAAAGCTAAAACTGAAATAAAAATAAATTACACCTACTGTAAGATGTCATATTTAAAATAATAATAGTAATAAACATGACAAAAGAGTAACAAAACTGTAAACTATAAAAATTCTACATTTATAAAAATTATTTTAGTATATAAATAAACAGTTTCTTGTGTTTTTACAGATGTACATTGCTTTGATTTCTCTTCATGCTCTCATCATGGTCGCTTTCAATTTTATCTTCTGTTTTGAAGAAGACTGGGCAAGTAAGTGCTTGTTTCTGTTTCATTGCCTGGGTTTTATTTACCTCAGTTTGCTGCTAAATGATTGGCTGCTTGTGTTGTAACTGAGCGTTCTGATTGGTTGGTGAGTTTAGAAAGCTTCCTGTTTCCTCTCCTCAGAGTGCAGTTCCTTCTCTCCTCCGACGGCCGTCATCCTCCTCATCCTCCTGTGCTTTGAGAGCCTGCTCTTCCTCATTTTCACTGCTGTGATGTTCGGGACGCAGGTTCACTCCATCTGTAACGATGAGACTGTAAGTGAACATCTGCTGATGTCACTTCCTACAATAATAAACCATTTCTCCTCATGCCAGGTTATTATAGTGAACTAAAACCATTACAAATGTTTATTCACTTTTACTAAAATGAAAATGGAAAAAAAATAAATACTATAAAAGTATTAATAAAAACCGTAAAATGTAAGCAGTAGTTTCAGTATTTTTAGCTTTTATTAATATTTTGAATTCATTTTTATTTTCATTTTATTTTAAAATGTTATTAATTTTGTTGTTTTTCATGTTTACTAATACTTTAACTAAAACTAAAAATGTGAAAAATACAATCAAAAACTAGGTCAAAATATTAATAAAACTGTAATGTATATCAATGATAAAAACGTAACACTGCCTAATGCATATAAATTTGTGAAAATTAAGCAGTTATTTTGTATCTTTGATATACTATTATAGTTTTTTATTAATATTTTGAATAATTTTTTTCCGTTTTAATTTTTCATTTGTAAGTTTTAGTAATTTTGTCATGCTTTCGTCATTTATTATTATTTTTTAATGTCTATTTAGTTTAATTTTTGATTTTAGTTAAGCTATTTTAGTGCGTCAAGTTAAACTAAATAAAAATGAGAAATGTTTTCTTGGCAAATAACTAAAATAAGCTTACTTTTTAAAAACTTTTTTTTTTAAGTAATTTATTTCAGTTGACTTTTATTTCAAGTAACACAAGTAACAAGTGTTTAATGGTTTTAGTTTTAGTTAACTATAATAACCCTGAATTTAAGAGTACATTTGAGCAGTTTTTACCCGTGACCAAACATCTCATTGAAGAAATTCTGCTTGCTTTTCATCGTCCACTTTTCAAAATCCACAAATATCAGTCCGTGTGAGAAGCGTTTGTCTTCTACATTCCCTTCAGCAACTGAAGAAAGCATTTAGATGGATTTAATCAAAACCGAATGCAGAAATCATCAGATCAAACTCGTTCTCCGCTCTCTGAGACCGTGATTCTCTCTGTTCACAGGCATTTTTGTCTGAACTAATCCTTTAATCATAATGACACAAAAGGAATGCCCACATACAAGCCAAATAATTCATATTTTAATCATAATACTACATTCTATAGTTACTATGGTAACAGCTGTAATTAAGTGTAAATTTAGTGTCATTGTTCAGAAAGATACTGTAAATCCTTTAACAGTTACCTGAATGTTCATCACACCTAATTATAACAAAATGAAACATTTGCAAATATGGGCTCATGACAAGGACAGATGTTGTCAACATTAAACACAGATGGCGTCACATTGCCAGGGACTTCATAACATCACATTATGTTGGAATGCATTCGGTCCATGTGTATTTGAGTAATATCTATGAGTCTCTGGGTTCATGCGCCCAATTGAGACTCATAACACAGGAAGAACTAGAATAATTCACAGGAAGTACAAGACCTTGACCTCGTCCTTGAGCCCCCTCCAGTAATGACCTGCTAAATCTGCTTCAGTGTCCTGGAAGATCCAGATAAAGCAGGTCGTTTAACGTGGTTTCCACCTGGTCTAGGTGGTTTGGTAAGGAGCTACAAAGTCAACGTGAAAGCAAAGCTGACTTTCTTCATACATGCTCTACTGATCTTACAGTGCACATTTTTACAAACAAGCTAAATAATCGTTCTTCACTAGGAAATGCATCAGATTAGATGTGTTGGTTTCCAGCATTGCATCATCCTGGTAAGTTTCGGTGTCTGCAGAAGGGGCTGAAGAACAGGTTTTGGTTTGCGTTCATTCGTACAGCTACAGAAAGTGTCTTTGCTCTCACATCACTGGATGTTTGCATGCATAAGTCATGTGGCATATTTGGGAAAAGCATCTTCTGGTAAAGAATGTAGAATGCCAACATTTGGAGAGGTTTGGTGTTATTATTGCACGTCTCCTGCCACACGCAGTGCTCACAGTGCTGGAGGATGATGATGATGATGCATGCGGGGAACCACAGCTTTAATCAATACCCGACCCTCTGGGAGACTGAAGGAAGTGATGTCACTGAGGGCGTGAGACAGATTGAAGGATAAGAAAGCTGCGATCGGATATGTGGGTCAGAGAGTGGAAAATGACTTTATTGAAATTAAATCATATTTATCGATTTAAGTATTTGTTTGTTGATTTATGTGTTTATTATTGATTTATTGGTTTGTTTGTCGAACATGGTTGGCTAACTAAAACCATTAAAACATTTCTGTTACTTAAAATAATATAACCATTAAAACAACTAGTTGCCAAGGCGTTTAGTTTTTAATTTTTGTTTAGTTTAATTTGAAGTACCGAAATAACAAAAAATAAATAAACTAAAACGAATCAATAAAAATTATACATTTATATATATATATATATATATATATATATAAAAAAAAACTTTAACTAAAATTAAAATGGAAACAGAAAATATGAAAATTAATTCAAAATATTAGCAAAAAATTACAATAGTATGTAAAATAAAGTAAAATAACACTGCTGTCTAATCAATTGGCAACTTTTACATTTTGGAGCAAAAAAAAAAATTTGGAAAAATTATTTTACTAGATAAATTTCATGAAACCTTTCAGGTCCAGCTTATATTTCAAAAGAAAAAAATAAATTATATTTTGCATTATTTCACTCAAAAGTGAAAATGCTGCCATTAGCACGTCGTTGATGTTACTTTTCCTGCATAATTTTCTTTCTTTTTAATCTATTCCTTTTTTAACTGTCCTAAAATAAGCTTCATATTCTTTATTAAAAACATTTTTTCAACTGATATTGATGTGAAATATGAAAAATTCACCCACCACATTAACAGTGATGTAGATTAATGCAACGGTTGTTTTTAATTATATTATATTATAATTATATTTTATGGATCTTTAACATTTCCTATTTTAATAATAAATATAAATACATTTTTTAAATATATATTTAAATGGTTCTTTGGCATGACAGTAGATTTACGGCTGCGAGAACATTTCAATCTCTCCGTTTTCACGTTTAACCTCAAATATTTCGAGCAACACTTGTGCAGCGAAGCAAACCAAAATAAAAGACTGCAGGAGGTCTGTGTGTCTTAGAGAAGTTGGATCCACATACAGTTTGAAAAGTGGTGATATTAGTGTTTTCTGATATGTTTCACATTGAACTAATCTAATAATGCAGCAGTGTCGTTGCGCATGCACGTTAACGCGGCCTCATTCTCTCTTGCTGTCGTGTGATTGGGTGAGGTTGGGCGATGTGTGATGAAGCACCAGAAGACCGGAGAGAGTGAGAGAGATGCCCACCCACCACAGAGCCACGTGTGTCTCCCCGAATATTAGCTGCCCCAGAAACGCCTGTTCAGCAAAGGCAGAAACCAAGAGATCATCATCATCATGACATAAGACACCTATATACACTGTAACAAGCAGAAGAGTTCAAACTCAAGACCTCTATCAGATTTAAACAATAATAATAATAATAATAATACACAAATTAATATTGCTGCTGGGCAGATTATTTTCTATGCTGTCATGAACTGTTCATTCTTAAATTAATCTAAAGTAAAATGCCAAGATCACTTAAATGAATATTTCATGTCAATTTATTTGTTTATTTTACATAACCATGTGCAACCCAAACTGACATTTTCCACCTCTAGCATACTTAGTCAAACTGTCAAACAATGCAATTATGATCTTTAATGAAGTGATAATCACTTTTCTGACCTTTTTAGTTTTTTTAAGATTACAAGCTATGGGGGTTTTTTTTAAATTATGAATCATTTAAATAATACATATATTTTTAAATGTATTAATACATAAAATATATATTTATTTTATGTGTGTGAATGCATTTTTATCTATAATAAAGAGATTTTTCCAGTTTCAAGATTACTATGAACTATTTTCTTTAAAGGGGTCATAGGATGCCTATTTTCTAAGTTGATATGATTCTTTAGGGTCTTAATGAAAAGTCTGTAACATAGTTTGGTTACATTTTCTCAATGGTAGTGTAAAAACACCTTTTTTATCGTTAAAAACAGCTCTTTTCAGATCAAGCCATTTTGTAGCATTTTCCTTTAAATGTTAATGAGCTCTGCTGACCCCGCCCCTCTCTTCCCAGCTGCTCTCAGAGAGACTGTTTACTTTAGCCGCATTCATGTGAAACTTGCTAATTAGCATATTATTAGGAAAGGCAATTTGCAAAGATTCGTTAAAAAAACCTTACATTCACTTCTTCTGTAGATGAGGCTGGATCACGAATGATTCGCGCGAACATAGACGCATTTATGCAGATCGGGGGCACATTCCCTTCAGAAACAAATGTAATCCACTGCGTCTTCAGTGGCTCAGATGTCGGGAGTAAATGACGACTGCTATGTTCATTATTACATCCAACAACAGAACACCTCAATCGCTTGTTAGGAGTCATTCTTGTCTACATCTGCTCCGGCGGTGAAACAATGGACAGCTAGAAATTGTTTTATTATTTTACATTTTCATTTATTTTTATTTGTTTGTGAGTGCATTTTTTAAATCTATAATATAGTGATAAAAATTTAATAAATTTTTTTCAAGTGTTCAAAATTACTAGCTAAGGATTTTTAAAACAATGAATCATTTTTTAAGATAAAATGTTTTAAATAATTCATCAGCTAGAAATCACTTATTTTCATGAGTGCATTTTTTAAATCTATAATAAATTGATTTTTTTAAGTTGGTCAAGATTACTAGCTAAGAATTTTTTATATTATGAATAATTAAGATAAATATTTTTTAAATCAGTTTTAACAGCTAGAAATTGCTCTATTATTTTGAAAGTTTATTTTTAATGCATGCAATTTTTTATCTATAATAAAAAAACAAATCACTTTTTGGATTGTTCCAGTTCAAGTTTACTAAGGTTTTTTAAAATAATTATTTGATAATATATTTCAAAAATAATTATTTTAAATAATTTATCAGCTAAAAATTGCTCTATTATTGTTAATTACTATTTAATTTTTGGTTTTTGTGAGTACAATTTGTATTAGATGCACACACACACAAAAAAAAATGTGTGACCCTGGACCACAAAACTTAAGGGTAAATTTTTCGA